AGCTGCTGCTGAGCTGCCAACAGGTGGCAGGATGGCTCAGCTTAAAAGAAACAAAACAGACTAGGAACAGTTAAAACTAAGCTCATAAATTTAAATAATCGAAGGTAGAAAATTTCTCCAACAGGAAAAAAAAGCCACTGAAGTTAAGAATCTTGTGGGAAATGACATAGTAATAAAGAAGGTCTTTTAATTTCTTAAAGAAAACTCAGTGCTGAGGGATGGCTTCTGAGCAGTTTTGTCAGGCAGCTAGCTCCCTAGCTGAGCGCTTCAGCAGTTCTGGTTCCTTAGCTTCAGGCCTGCAGAGCTGAGGAACCATCTGTTCTACCACGAAAATGCAAAAGCAGCTCTTCACGCTGGGAAGTAATGTCCATCAGAACCTCTGGGAGATTAGTTTAATAATGCTCTTTTTTGATTAAGAATAAATTTCTCCTCATAAAATTAGAATTTTTGCTTAACCCAAAGAGAAATGAAGTAATTAATATGATTTTTCAGCTTCCAAAGGTGGGAAACCTAAACTATAATCCTAAATTTGAAGTTTCTTAGTTGGCTAAATAAGCAGATCCTGAATATGGTTGGCCTAATCTTTCTCCTGATGTATCAGGATGGCAAGAGTGTCTTAGCTTGAGCAAGAATAATTTCATAGGTTCTCTAAAGTAGGTATAATAGGTTAACAAACCTAGTCTAGGGCTGACAAAATTTTGTAAAAGAGGAATGATGAAAAAAAAGTCAAAGGTATTAACATATTACCTAGCTCTTTTTCATGTAATCGTCCTGTTACTAATATCCAATAGACATAACTGAAACATACACCTATTTCCTAAGATTTATACTGGACCAGGCTTCCTTTATTTATTTTTTCTTTTTAAAGATTTTATTGGGGAATTGGGGAAGGGAAACAGCCAAGTTGTTGTCCTCCAATCTTAGTTGTGGAGGGCACAGCTAGCTCAGCTCCAAGTCCAGTTGCCATCTGGCTGCCTGGCAGCAGCTTGCTGCTCAACTCAAGGTGCCATGTTTAATCTTAGTTGAGGGTGGGCACAGCCCACCATCCCATGCAGGAGTTGAACCGGCAACCTTGCTGTTAGGAGCACGTGCTCTCACCAGCTGAGCCATCCTGCCACCTGTTGGCAGCTCAGCTCGGGCACAGCTCACTGGCCCATGTGGGAATTGAAATGGCAACCCTGTTGCTCAGAGCTTGTGCTCTTAACCAACTGAGCCACTCAAGTTGGCCCAGGACCAGGCTTCCTTTAATTAAGTCCGCGTAGATGGTTAGGATTGGGGTCTATCTGTGTAGGATGCTTCTGTCATACGACTAAGGAAAGGTCTCTCTGTTTTGCTGCAATGGTATCCCTTCTTCCTCATTTTGTAGATTAAGAAGCCGACAACCTCTCCCCCAGCACTTTCTGAGATTCATTCATCAAAGGTAGTTTGCAGGTGGTTTTAGTTTATGAAACACTGCAGCTGAGCTTACTAAGCCAACTAAGAGAGTATTGAAGCCACTGATCCATGCTAGACATTGCTGGGATTCTCTCTTGGGTTTGCTGTCTTCCTTTCTGTAACATGAAAGTAAAAATTACGTGTTCTGCTCCTTTAGAATGCCTGGAAGGGAAAAAACCCGAGCATTCCTTTTTTTTCTCAGCATAGGTGAGGTGCGTGTCTTTGACAAGCAGGTATGTCCACTGGAGTACAATGGCCCTCCTGTCCCTTCCTTTTACATGATGCTGAAGCCAGGAGGGTTCTGTCCTCACCTGAACTTTGTGAAGTTAACAGAATGTCAGAGTTGGAAGGGACCTTAAATGAGCAACTTCTCACCCTATGCTGCAGCACCTGATGTACAATAGTCACCAGGTGACTGACTGTTCAGGACATCATTTTAAAAGCAGTATCATAGGGCCGGCCGAGTGGCGCGATGGTTAAAAACTGGCTTGGGACACCAGAGGGCCCC